ACAGGCACGCAGGCCCCACCGAGGGAGGAACAGGCACGCAGGCCCCACCGAGGGAGGAACAGGCACGCAGGCCCCACCGAGGGAGGCCGGTTAAGCACCTGCGCTTCGACCGGCCTGCTCCCCCGCAGCCCCTGCAGGGAGGCTGCGCCACAGGTCACATGGCGGTAGTAACCATCTTGTACAATGGTGCTGCTGCAAGATAAGAACCAACTCTGCTCCTCATCTCCACCCCCAACTCTGCTACTGAGTTTAGCGCTGTTGCTACTACACACATTCCGTGTTGATAAATAAATCCTTTATTTGTCTTTTGCACAAGTATTGGTACAGGTTACACTGGTGGAATTCTTCTCCTCACCTACCCCATCTTGCTCTCCATAGCTTGGGGGGGTCACAGCACAGGGTTCGCCAACATGCGGCGCCCCTGCTTACGGGCCTTGCTTAAGGGCCCACAGATGTGAGTACTCTGCCGAAGCTGGGCCAGAACCAGCAACCTTCCGATCAGCACAGAGGCTTAGTCCACTGAGCCACATGCTGTTGACGTATAAGCCCAAAATCCCTTGGGTATAAAGTTTCTTAATGGCCCCGGAACTGCACATTGGCTACAACAAGACACCTACTTGATTAGAAGACAACAAATTTGGATTATCCACAGGAGACAATGAGAGAAAAAAAAAATCATGACACAGACACCCCCTAGTGGACACTAGCTAACACAGCATGCTCCAGGAACCCCACTGGGCGATGCCTGGGTCTCCTCTGTCACTGACTTGAGGGGGCTGGCTTGCACCTTGCTGTCATTACCGCCCTCTGTGCTTCTTATTAGCACTGATCACGTGTGAGAGTGCTGCCCACATGGCAGCAGGGCCTGCCAACTGTCTGCCTGCCAATCAGGCTGTCCTCAAGAAATCTGACATGCAGCAAGTTATCTGCAGGGACAGCAAACACGGAGGCATGGGGAGAACAGATACATTTCAGGAAAGAACTTGTAAGCGACCATATGATTCACACAAATACTTATAGTAGCTTTTAGCAAGCTAGCCCACTCTTTCTTCTTTCAATAATGTTCGCATGCCTGGGGGGGTGGGCAGCTAATTGACCTTGGACCCCCAGAAATTTTTTCTCTCCTTACTTGGTAGTTTTTGGTTCCTCTCCTCCATTGTCATCTGGCTTTTTACATTTTTTTGTCTTTCCTTTTCCCTGTTTTTGTATTATTCTCTCGTAATGATGTTGGAGTGTATTACAACGCACCCATGCCTTGCCGGGACTTTTGCGAAAGGCGCTATATAAAAATACATTTAACTGAATTCAATAGTAGGCTGATTAGCGGCTCTCTGATTGGGCAGCGTTAGAGAGGGTCAGCCTTTTCCCTATGATACTGAATTCAATAGTAGGCTGATTAGCGGCTCTCTGATTGGGCTGCGTTAGAGAGGGTCAGCCTTTTCCCTATGATTGTGCTCATCCTCAGTAACAAAAGCAGGAAAACCAGGCCAACATCGAAGGGAACTTCCATTGGTCCCATGAACTTGATCTTATGGGTGTCCTTTGGTGAAGATACTGAAGCTCGATTATTTTTGTTGACAAGTGGCTTTCATCCAAAAAAGGTTTAGAGTTATAATAATACATTTTTAGCCAGTTATCCAGTTTGATATTACGTAATGCAATTCAATTTATGTAATGTGCTCTAGGGTACAACAGCACATTGACTCTTGGAGCATGAGCCAGCGATCACATCCTTAACTGCGAGACCACCTGTTGCTCTGAGCAAATAATACATAATAACCAAACCTCAGCAAAGCAGACCAGTGAACCATAGCCTGTTCATGCTACGCAAACCACTAACACACCAGGGCCCCATCCGTTAGCGTGACTAAGCCTGAAAAAGGAGCGCACTCATACCACAGTAACGACGACGCTAATTTGAAACACTGCAGGCAGCAGGAAGTACTTCAATTAAAGGGGCCTTAATGAGTTGTGGCTGAAGCTGGATTAGTAAGTTCCTGCGCCGTGACGAGGCTGCACCTTAGCTGAAGCGGCCTCACGGACATGCCGATTAAGCGACTGGGTCCTGAATCTCTCCCCCCCCCACTCAACATGGACCTGCAGTCGGTGCAGAGCTTCACTACTATCCAAACCCCCTAACCCATAGACTTCCTGGGAGAACACCCACCTAGAAGGACGTGACTCAGAAATTAATACCACCTTACCACAAAATGACCACTTTGCTTTCAGGATTACAAACACAAATAGTACCGAGTTGGCAGCCCGCAAGTATCTGTCTGGCGGTGGAACAGAAAAAAGCAGGGAAGGTGGTGGGACAAAGGGTGGGGGGGGTGGTGTCCCCCTGGCGCCCCCAATTTCCGCACGCACTCATGCACGAGACATTCTGTTCCAGCTGCAAATGGGCAACTGAAAGCCTGCAGCAACAGCAGGCAAACATGGAAGCTTACAAGCCCTGCCATATCACTCATGCAAAAAGACAACCTCCCTAGACTGAAATCCAGACACAACGGATTCACTACCTGAGGACTGTGAGATTCTGACAAGCGCCTACCTGAGAATTAACCAGTGACAAGGGAGCACGTGACAAGAGACCATTTTCACGTTGGACCTAAGAATAACCGGGAGCTGGGGGAATGCAGGACTGTCTTTAGTGACACGTTCATTCCCTCATCCCGTCGCAGCTACCGTAGGAACTGTCAATCACGTGGCGGTTCCGAAGCGTTCCCACAAATAAAGGTACAAATGTGCTACATGGGGTAATATCGCCCCTTAGCGGCCAACAGGTTTACCGAAAAATACAGTGTTTTCGAGACCGGTAAAGTGGCAGAGATGAAGCGATTTCTAAAATAACATAATACAGCTAATACAATGAACATAAACAATTTTCGCCAGGGTCTTAGTCTTAATGTTACTAATACCGTTAAAACTTGTGTGTTGCGTGTATCGCTCAATCGCAACCTATCCTTATTTCTCCGATTTTCTAAATGATTCTGTAAGGACCTGTGTGCAATTTTACATAAGCCGAGAGGTAATTTGCACGGCCGGCCTATGAAGTCTGACACCAAACTAACCAAAACACAAATAATCATAGCAGCAATTAGCGGGAATAAGATAACAATTGACTAAGTACGTATAGAAAAACATCCAGCATGGTCTGTTTTTATCGTGGTACTAGCTGACTGACTGACGTGCCAATAAAAGCAAAGAAAATAAGTGAATTTATTCAGTTGCTGTTTTAGGGCTGCTCATTTATCAGGTTGGCCCGCACTGAAACGGAACATTTAACTTCATAAATGCTTGGAAGCTAAGCAAGTCTTTATTAAAATTTCACACCTCTTTTTCGGTGGCTCCTTCTTCCACCCCAAGCAAACCGTAAAGATCCATTTGCAACAATTCTTTCGCCGCTGCCATTTTCGCTACGAAACTTATTTTAAATAATAGTGTACAGTTCGGTAGTCCAAAAATTACAGCATGTATTTCTTCGCCGTCTTAACCTTTCAACTGTCACACAAGCACTTCCGGGAAACATTGCGTGCTGGGTAATGTAGTATTATACATATTAGCGGAAGTAATTTTTGCATCGGAATTAAAAATTCTAATAATAATTAGAAATAATGGTGAGATACATGCTCCGCCTTGCTGTCTACTCTCCTCTATACATAACGAGTTCATCATAAGGCAATACCTAAAAAAATCGAAACTGAAGATGACGTAGGCCTATTAACGAATACATTTTTACATTGGAGAAGAAATCCTGCGTACTTCTGAAGTTGAGACCAGGAGGAAGGCACTGTTTCTAACACCAGATGGCGACAAAAACTGTAATTATCTGAAAATACGAATAAACGCCTTCCAAAAAATATTTGAGTAATGCACCTTTATCACCTTTTTGGACCTATCACGGAACGTTGCAGCCTAATTATAGACAATTTTTGTACGTTTTTTATATGTATTGAAATGAAAGTGAATGGGTAATGGAACATTTTTTTCATCAGCAGCTTTGAGGTAACCATAATTTGAATCTGCTATTATGCACACTTTAATTTTCCTGTTATCTCGAAAATGAAAATGACTCCCAAATTAGCGATCACAAAAAGCAGGATAGGAGTAAATAATAATTGGGTATTAGGCTTTGTTTATTCTATTGTCTTTTTCATTGTATCTGATGCCATTTTATTATTTGGGTTGATAGATCTGCTCCTTATACTTTTATGATACGCAGTGGAACGGATTAATTCCAAAATCTACACTTTTAAAGAAATTTAATTTTTAAGTGCAGACCGAAAATCAATGACAAGGATGAAAGCCAAGCTATTCAAGCTTTAGTTTTCTTGGAAAATAACAGTCATCTGCAGGCTCCTGTGGACAGCTGATTCATTCAGAAGAGCTCCAAGTCAACTGCTGCTGCTGACAGATCTCTTAATAAGAATCTTCTTTCTCCAATGCAGACACACATTCCAAGAATGCCTTAACCCTTTGTGTTTTTACCTGGTCATCTGGTTTTTTTTTTTCTTGTTGTTTTTCTACAAGATAAGACATGCAGCGGGTCAATGCTACACTAATATTCAACAAGGAATCTTGGAATGTCAGATATGCGACTGGGAGAGTGGTACTGAGAAATGACTCAGCTTGCCTGAAGATATGATATAGTTTCACAGCTTCCTGAATGCCAGGAAGATGATAAAAAGCAGCCCTAAATGATGATACTGTTTTTTTGTACTCATTTTTTGTGGCTTCACAGCAGCAAAGAAAACAGTCTTAGTGTATTGGGCTAATAAGCAGATAAATGTACTTAATTTGGAGTATTCAACAGCCAGTCTTAGCCTGGCGAAGTCCAAAACTGTAACTGAGTGGACAAACATAGTGATGGAAATTTATGAGCTCCTTAAAGATCGATAATACATGTCTTTGCATGTATGTATATATATATATGTATGTATGTGTGTGTGTGTGTATATATATATGTATATATATGTTTTTTTTTTATCTCAATGCACCAATTCCCTCATGTCTCTCTTGTTTAACATGCTGAGCAATTGTTTTTCTGTGGTTCTGACTTTCAATTTTAATGCGATGACGGTCAGTGTTTTTGTGTTAATGTTCTGTTGGTTCCCCAAAACTATTAATAAAAAGTTAATCACAAAAAATAAAATGCAGCCCCAAATAATTTGCCACCAAACTGGGTCTGCATTTTACTGATATTTCTGTGAACGCTACCAGCAGTTTTAATAAAACCCACATGTGCACTGAGCCAAAGCAGAAATAAGTATTGGCACTATTGTCAGGGTTGGCATTTTAGCAGACATGCCAATTCAGGCTGTTTACATTTCCCAGCACTTATTAATATCAGTGTTATTTATAAACAAGACATTTGGACATTCTCTGATCCAAGGTCTGTTTATTAGTTTCTGGGTCTCACATGGGGAGGTTTCCTACGGGTACAAATGGGCCTTAAGCCAAACACACAAGTCTCCAGCATGGGATTTGGGTCTGTGGAGGAGCATCTCTGCCATTGGATGTTTATATGTTTGAGTTTGACTCAAAAAGTCTCTGATTGGAATCCAAAATGTATTAAGAGCTAAAAAAATAACAAAAAAACAAAACAATATGTGACAGACAAAGTCAAAATGTGAAAATGGATGTGATTGCATGTACATGCCCTGTATTACTCAAGAGACTCCCTATGGAGCCTGCAGTGGTACTGGTACTATTTTAATCATGCTCTGTGTCCTGGTGTCACAGAGAGAAGGCCACAGGTACGATAACAAAGGACAAGGACTCACTTAACCTGAATGGCTTCAGTGAAATGTTCAGCTGTATAAATCAGTAAAACTGCTTCATACGTCTCCAAAGTGTATCAGGTTAAATGTCTCTATATACTTAACTGTGATGTGCAGCATGTGAGGCATAACATGCTGTGATAGCATTACTAAACTATGTACATCCGTGTATGCACACTGGTCAGAGGCTGATGTAGTGTTTTAGGAACCTGGAAAATCAGAGGATTTTTGGGTCAAACCAATAGCGAGCCAGAAATCATCGCGTGGGCAGGATGTCAACAAATCTGATTGGTCAGTCCCATAACAATCTATAACTTGGTGATAAAATCACACTACAGACTCAAATTAAATGTTTTAAATCAGTTTCTAAATGGCTCGTGGGACTACTAAGACCACATGAATGAAGAGGAAAAAAAATCTATTTGCTTCTCAATTTCCTCCGATTGATCTAATCACGCACACACATACCTGTCAGACACAATCATTTTATCGCTCCCTATCATCTCTGAATAGGTGGGACTGACATCCGTCTCAGCGGGCCCGGACCAGGGTCACGCACACACACCTGCCAGACACATTCGCTTTATCGTACTTTATCGCTGGCTGTGAATGCTGAGTGGGTGGGACTGAATTCTACCTGGGCGGCCTAGGATCACCCTGACCCACCCATGGCAGGTTTCAGATGGTGAATTACTCTACTGCTGTATTATTGTATGATCACTAATATCTGTCACAAAATATTATAGTTTGCGTGCACCTAAACCACATATAAACCTCTATGTCCACACACGCTGAGAAGTGGTACCGCTCAAGAAGTATTTAACTGGATTTGTTTGCCCTGCCTTTGAATGCATTGGCTTATTCGCTGTTAAAGAATCGTTTTTTTAATGCAATCAATCATATAGAACGAAGCACTCCCAGATTGTAAAGGTCCAAAACTGGAAAGATAACAAACCCAGAAAAACCAAACATTTTATTCCTGTTTGGATTGATATATACAGCACATGTCTTGTGATATCGATGGCAAATGTCTCTGTTAAACGCTGATGACAGCGGGATGCATTTATTTGCTATATCACCGCTGACCGCAGGGGTGCAGTAGAGGGAGGAGGACGGGCCGGTGCTGGGAGCTGGGGATGGGGATGGGGAGGCTCTCCAGATGTCCTACCCACACCGCCGGCCGTCACACCCATGTGGGAGCGGCGGAGAGCATTTGCTTCGTCTGACTGGAAGGAGGATCCTTTCCATCGATACATCGACTTTCTTCGCGTAATATAGTCCTTTTTTTCTGAAAAGGAGTCGTGCCGTTACACGATTTTGAGGGGAAAGGTCTGGTTTTACTGAAGCAGTTTATGTCAAGGCTTTGACAAGGTAAGACGAAATATGGATTGTCAGCAAACTTAATAGTTATTGTCGGAATTTTACTGCTGAAGTGTTTAGATGTTGCGAAATGTTGCAACTTTGATTCACAGATAATCACGAGTTTCTTTAGTTTTGTCGAACTAAGATTTTTTTCTGTTTACTTTTCTTGCAATATCTGTGCTGTGATTTCTGCTCCGATTTAGTTCCATAAATATTAAATACCGCCGCTTTTTGTTGGGGACATTTTAATGGCCTTTACATTTACTCACTTAAAGTGTACGCTGTCTGCTTTTGCAACGTATCGTCTGTTCCTTCTCCTTAAAACACTAGTAATTTGAGACCGCCGTAGAAAAGAAATAGCTGAGGCCAGGGAAAGGTTGAGTCACATAACGGATTTTCCGAAATGTACACATAGTTCATTTTTATTTTGAAGAATTTATCTGTAGTAAACGGTGCGATGATATGCCAGCGATGTGTAACAGAGCAGCGAGATACAGCTCATTTATTTTGGCTAATAAGGCGAATATTAGTATGTTTTTACCTCAATCTATGTGTTAGACAGTTCAATGAACAATCGCAACTTGAAATAGGCAATTTTCGAGTAAAGGATGAAGACAGCAATTCACGCATTAATCATAATATTATAGATAAGGCTAATATTTGTGTGCAGTTCTGCTATTAATAGAAGGAAATGTAAACAGAATTAGTTAACCAGTATACGATCGTGTTGTGGTGTATATATATATATATATATATATATATATATATATATATATATATATATATATATAAACATGAACATCAGTTTACCTGTGGAATTGAATTTGCGAATGGTTTAAGTATTGAATATGCCCTCTGTCTGTTATATAGCCTAATTCGAAGGACACCTCCACAGACCCTTGAGAATAATTTAAGAAAACATCTTCGCATGCTAGTTTTATTAAACTTTTTTTTTTCCTCAGACACTTCATAATACTAATTCAATTAAAAGAGAATATTTTAAATGCAGTAAGCATTTCCCTGTTGTATTTTTCATCTTGAGATCCACATAATTGTCCCACCAATTTGCTGTCTCTGTCCTTTGGGATCTCAGACAATGCAAATGATGAGAAAATCATGGCAAGAATCATACGCTTGAGATGGGTGGGGGATGGAGAAGAATCAAGTGAACAGCTGACTGGGTGTAAAGTCAGCCTGGTCATTGGCAATTGGCTACTACTGACTTCCATTTCAATTCCTTCCAGGGCTGGTATCGCCAATACCAATCCCAAATATTCAGTGCTGGCCCAACCTCAATCTTAAAACTTGCTGAGTTGGGGGAGTGGGGGGGAGTGTAAGAGCAACTTCCCCTTTTCTACACTCATGGAGAAACCTACCAGGCAGCCCATATCCATATCAGTTCATATCCTGCTCCTTTTAATAACATACCATTTTAAATTACAATGTAAAAATATAATATTTCACTGTTAAAATTGATATTTTAACTTTGATCCACACATCCATAGTTTAAAGCGTTGAAGAGAAGTCTCTCTGGACTGCAAGGTCTAGAACCAGCACGTGTTTGGGACAAAGCAAGTGCTGTCCCATGTATCAATTCTCTGGCGTCTTTCATGGGGCTTTAAGGTGCTGCTCATATACTGACACACATCTAAAAACAGTTTGGGCAAGCCAGTGGATTTCACCCTAAGTCCTGCCGCTGGTTCCAAACACTGCTTTAGATATAAATAGAGCTCTGTTTTGGATGTTAAGATCTTGGTTCAGCAAGAAGGAGCACAAACCTCAGAAGGAGTTCTTGTTTCCCCTAATTCCTTAAGTTATTAGTGTTAGGAATCCACAATGTCCACTCAAAACTGAGAATAAATTTGAAACTTGAAATGAACTTAAATGTTTGGTAGCTAAAACATATATATAATTAATACATATAAACATATGTAAGTGGACATCTTGCATAACCCCACATTGTGTTTGAGCTGATTAAATATTTACATTGCATAGGGATATCTGGCTTCTGTTATAACTGTAAGCTTGCTGTATGTTTGTTTAATGTGATGCACAGCACGAACTGAAAAGGTGTTGGAGTCTCATGAAAGAATGCCATTTGTTGTGTCCGTAATGTTTATCTTGTCACCATGGTTAGATTTGAGTGTTGGGTCATATCCACATATTCTGAGGGCAATGTTTTTGGTGAGTGAAGTATGACTATTAGTCAGCAAGTTATATATGAATGATTTGCAGTTTATACTTTGTTATTTCATTTCATGTTTTTTTTAAGGGCCGTCATCATCATGGATTAGTATGAACTATATGGCCAAACGTTTCTGGACACCCCTATTAATAAGAGGAATTGCCTAATTAAGCCACACCCATTTCTGAAAGACGTTAGGCAGGTACAGTCAGCCATTGTAAGCCAGAAGGAATTGTTTGTATTGTGGAAGCCCCCCCCCCCACCCTGCTGCACCCTACTGAATTCATTATATCAAAGCTGGAATTACAAAATGGGTGAGACGACAAGCTACACATGAAAACTCTTCCTTGACCATGTGACTGGCTCAGGCAATACAGAAGGCCTGTTCCTCTAGCTAACTGGAACTTTAGTAAATTAGTCATTGTGAGGAAGACTCAACAGTTGGTCAATCATAAAGATCACTGTTACTGAGAGACCTAGAACAGTAGCTGTGGTTTCCACCACTGGCACTACTGAACCCCGAAGCTCCACGCAGGACATCATGACCTGCAGCGTGAGAATGCTGAGCTGCATTCCTGTGACATTCCAAAGCTCCTTTGTTGTGCAATAGCTGGTGGCTACATACTTTTGGCCATATAGCGTATGTTTATCTCAATGTAAGTTCAGGCTGAATTTGGATTGCTGCTGATGCCTAATTTTGCTTGAGGGTGCACTTAGACACTGGAAGCGCACAGTTGGGAAAAAGTGAGCATAGCTGCTGCAGAATTTCTGCTAGACAGTGGTGCTTTGGTTACTGTGTTTTGTGTTACTCCATAAATCCTGCGCTTTACAGCAGACTGCATACGGAGGTTCACTGATGACAGATTTCAGTGGCTGAAATTCTGTTTTGCTTTGAAAGAAGCTAGGGAGGTATAGTCAGCCTTTGTTAAGCCAGAGGGAATTGTTTATGGTGCAGAAACCCCCACCCGACCCTGCTTAATTTAGGGTATCAGTGATGGAATCAGCAATGTGCTGAGACAACAGGCTACACACAAACTCTGTTCTTTAGCCATTTCAGACTGGCTCAGCCAATCTAGAAGCCCTGTCCCTGCAGCCAGCTAAACTACAATGCATAACGAGGGGACATACAGCAGTGTTACTAGAGATTTATGGAAAGGGCGAGTAACCTATTAGTTTTTAATAGTTTAGTAATTTTAGTGAAAATGAATGACAAAACACTAAACTAATTAGTGTACATTTATAAAACAACCCTAGTTACATTACATAGCAAGATATGACTTGTGAGTTGAATTCAGTGTCTGTGTGTTTTCACAGAATGTTTTGAATTCCTGTTTTCAATGTGTCCTTCCTTACCAACGGCAGAGTGTTTCCTAAGTGGACACTCGTGCGACAAACTCTTGGGAAGATGCTTGTTACTAGGGGTAGGTTATCCTCCCAAAAGATTATATTGCAATCTTTATAACACTCAATCATGATCCATGATCTGAATTGCGATCTTTCTTCCCAAGTTTGAAATGTACTGTCAAGAATACCCAGACTCCAATAAGCCTATAAGGACTCATCTATTAGCATCACTTAAAACACATTTCATTCAAAACGATAATTAAATCCTGAGTTAAACTTTATTTTTGCAAAGTTGTGTCAGACGCCTCCTTCTAAGGGGGCTGAATAATGTCTTATTTCCTCCAGAGGTGCATTTCCTGACCTATCTGATTGTACATGCCTGATTTTATCTTGCACGTCTGCACATGCACATCGTATGGACTGTAGGCCTATGTACTCGAGCACCCCCGCAAATCCTTCAACGCCAGGTGCCGCCAGTTTACCTCCTGGTTTAACATAGCTAGCTAGTCACTAATCCGGCTTTCTGGGTTACCCATGGGGTAACAGCGGGATGGGCCGGCCAGGCCATTGCAGGGGAGATACATGCACCCAGTTATACACTAAAGGCATATAAATGATGTCACTCAGCTAAACTGTATGTCTTCGGACTGTAGGAGAAAACCAGAGTAGCTCGGGGAAACACACATGATATGGGGAGAACATGCAAACTCCCCATGCAGAAAACAGAGGTGGCATTCAAACCCACAGCCCTGGAGGTGTGAGGTACCAGTGCTGGTATCCACTGTACCACTCTTCCGGAAAATATCAGTAAAATGCCCAAAGCTCTCATGTTGTACATTCATATTTGCAGCACCATAGACTAAGAGTGTTTGTGTGGTCAGTAAACCACAGTTTTGATTACTTATTTTTCTAGGGAGCTTTCAATTAATTCAGGGTGTGGTTAAAAAAAATACTCGCTTAACATCCCTACTCAGTACAGTGCTTATTACCATCTGTGCATATACCCTTTTTGAAAGCATTAAAATTCAGCTTGTTCTACCTTGCAAATAATACTTTGTTTGAAATTAATAATCTTTACATCACAAGTTTAAGTTAAACCATTAAACAAATATTAAAATATGGGTCATTCTCAGGAACTTTTACAATGAAATACAGAATTTGTTTTTATGTAGACAAATTGACATTAGCTTCACGTTTTAGGTTTATTAAAATTATGTCATTGATGTCACTGACGATTTTTTAAACAACTTTCTCCAAATGGGTAGCGAAAAATCGAAGAACACAAAACTGCATAAAATCTTAATCTTTCTGGTTTACTGCATGATAAGACATATATTTTTGCTCATTTTTGGTTAGTTTTGTCATTTTATCATATCCCTGTAACTCTTGCCCAGGATTTAATGAAACACTTTTATTATAGAAAAAATGGAAATATGACAAAACTGACAAAAAAAAAAACGTTTAATGCTATAATGTAATG